CTACTGATATTAGAGTGTATGAGGACTTTGTCAGAACAATGATTTAAAGCAATGCTAATCGGGCAACATAATCAGATGCCCTTGTTTCCAGATAGTTAAGAATTCCTGGACTAATATACTTATGGACCATTTATAGTTTTCTGGATCATGTGAGAGAGAATGTTGTTGGAGAAAAAAGTGAGGCAAGGATCCTGTACTAAATCATGAAAAAGACACCCCTTTAAAGAGATAAGCATCCAGAGTGTTCCCAAGTTAAAATATGTAATATTTACAATTATATTGTGATTATATAACACAAATTATCACTCTAACCTTTTCCCTATTCTTAATTTACCCTGTGCTGCTTTCATACCTTACTATCAAAGTTTTAAAGAAATGTTTAAAATAAATCATGAGCGTTCTGGGCAACTTAGACTCTTAGATAGACAAGAAGCTATAAAAACCCAAGCAAAATGCTCAGATTCCCCTTGCCACCCACAAAAATATTCATCTATATTGTGCATGTTTTTGTTAATTAAAGTCTATTCAGTTGATTAACAAAAGTTGTCTTTTTCTTGCTTATGTAGCAGGTACTAATACTCATTTTTATTACTTAAGATCTAAAAAAGTAATATATTCATATAAAAAACATATGTTTATATAAATATATTGTGGAGAATCTCATTCCCTCTCTGCTTTCCATCTGTCCATTCCCACCATGTTTATTAATAGCTTCTATTTCCAGTTTTCCTATGCAAATTAGTGCTAATTGAATATACTGTCCTCTTCCCAGGTCATCTTTATTGAGGGTGGCTGGGACTGAGTTGAGAGAGACTAGGGAGTGCAAGCACCTGGTCTGTATGTCTTTCACTGACTTTCTAAAACTTGCTAATATTCTCAAAGGGCAAAAATGTATATCTCACCTTAATGTAAATCATATTCCCAAACCCAGGATCCATTCTGGCTGAGGTTCTAAGGTCTCCATCTGGCCTATGTGAAGAGGAAGACCAAAGTCCTCCATGAGAAGATAAGGCCTGGTCTACCACTTCCAGAGTGGCTGTATGCAACAGTCTGTCATTTAACTCCTATGTGCAGTCATACTCAATGAAATAACATTAAAACCCAGACAATGTTCTTCCCTTTTCTAGTCTGTTTAATGCTGTGTGTGTGTGTAATAGATTTTTATCTTTGAGCAATTTTAGGTCTACCGAAAATTAGATGTTAAAAGAGAATTCTTACCAGCTCTTTCCCCTGTTCATATTTACATTCTATGATTCGACAAATGTATAACACGATCACCACTGATGTAAAATGTTTTCCACTGTCCTAAAAGATTCCTAATCATTCATCCCTTTCTCCAAATCCCTGGCAATGACTCATCTTTTTACATACTGCCTCTATAGTTTTTGTCTTTTCTATAATGCCATATAGTAGGAATATAGTTATTTTCAGTCTTGCTTCTTTCATTAAGCAATATGCCTGTGAAGTTTAGCCATGTCTTTTAGAGTTTATACCAAATAATATTCTGTGTCAGTTTGCCTTTCTCTTCAGGTTTTGAAAGACATCTTAGTTGTTTCCAGTTTTTTTTTTAATTATAAATAAAATTGATATATGTGTTCTTGTGCAATTTATGTGATGCAAGTTTTTGGGTAAATATACCTACATACATGATTGCTCTGTAGTTTAAGAATATGTCTAGCTTTGTGAGGTAGAAAATAACTTCCAAAATGTACCATTTTGCATAAATGGGAGTTCCTATTCTTCCATATCCTCATCAGCATTGGTATTGCCAGTTTTTAGGATTTTACCATTCTAAAAGATGCTAAGTGGTAATTTACTGCTGTTCTGCAATTCCTTAATAATATATAATGTTAAGCCTCTCTTCGTATGCTTAGTAGTCACCAGTAAGTTCTTTTGATATCTATTCAGTTCTTTTGCTTATTTTTTACCTGTGTTGTTTCCTTTCTTAAATTTTAACATTTCCTTTTATGTTTTAGATATAAGCCCTTTGTCAGATGTATTTCTCCAAGCCTGTGGCAGAGCTTTTAAATTAACTCTAACCAATTTTTTCTTTCATGATTCACGCTTTTGCTGTTACTTCTAAAAGTTCATCAACAAAAAAAGGCCCTGCTCCATTACCTAAGTTTGAGCACTAAGAGTTTTCCACTAGGTCTACACTGTAATTTTGTTGTTGTTATTAATGAAGTACCAGTTGTGATCATTGTAGTTCTCCTATTAGTACTGGGATCCACGTTGAGTTAATGTTTTATGAAAGCTGTAAAACGTGTCTTAATTCATTTTTTCTGCATATGGCTATGAGCTCTTCCAAAACCATCTGTTTAAAACAATATCCTCCAATGAATCCCTCCTCTGAATTATTTTTGCTCCTTTGTTAGAAATATGTTGGTTGTATATGTATGGGTGGACTATACTGTTCCACTGATGTGTCTAATTTTTATTCTCCTAATACTACAGTGTCTTAATTATTATAGCATAGTGATGTCTTAAAATTGGATAATCAGTTCACTTTGTTCTTTTTCTTCATTACTAAGTTGGCTATCTTGGGTCTTTTGTCTTTCCATTTAAACTTTGGAATCACTTTATCAATATGCACAAAATAACTTATTGGGGTTTTGATTGGAATTGAATTGAATCTACAGATCAAGTTGGAAAGAATCAAAATTTTAACATGAGTCTTCCTAACTGTAAACAGGACATTGCTCAATTTATTTAGATCATCTTTGATTTCTTTTGTCAGAATATTGTAGATTTTTCTCAGATCTCCTACATAATTTGTTAGATATATTTTGAAGTTCTTTGTTTTGGATGGGGAACTTGCCAATATAAGGTGTTATTATGGCTTTAAATTCAAATTTCAATTGTTTGTCAATATACAGGAAAGCAACTAACTTTTATGGATTAAGGTTAGATCCTGTAACTACTAAAATCACATTAGTTTCAGAAATTTATTGATTTGGGGGGAGATTTTCCAAATAGACAATGATAGCATCTGTGAATAAAGATAGTGTTATTTCTTTCTTCCCAGTCCATATACCCTTTCTTTTTTTGTCTTAAAGCATTAACTAGGGGGCCTCCCAGGTGGCAAAAGGGTTAAGACATAGGACTCTGAAGCTATCTGCAGCCACTGCCACATGAGTTCAATCCCCAGCTAGGGAAGTGACCCACATGGCACAGCAGACTTCTGTCTCACCCGCAGTTCCCCTCAGCAATGTACTTCAATAGCTCTGCCTATTCTGCTCCCTACGGTCTCTGGTGAATCCTCTCACTACACACCTCTGGCCTGTACCCCAGTTCTTGTACACATAATAAATCAATTTTTAAAAAGCATTAACTAGCTCTTCCAATATGATACTGAATTAGGAGTTGGTAGGACAACCCTGATTTGTTATCATGAATGGGTGCTGCATTTTGTCAAATGTCTTTTCTACATCTACTGGTATGATCATTTGGTTTTTCTTCTTTAGTCTGCTGATGTGCTGGATTACATTAATTGATAATCAAATGCCAGCTTTGTACACCTGGAATAAATCCCACTTAGTTGAAATACATGAGAATCGAGTCTGGCACTAGCCAAGTGCTCAACAGCATACAAACTTCTTTAGCTTCGAAGTTTCAAATCAAAGCAGAGAGAAGGAAAGAATCAGTCCAGGAAGAGGAGAGTCTCCAAATGCCTTTATTACTATTTGGCAGGATTTCTGGCTGGTTCAAAACTAAACTCCTATTGGAATAAAGCTAACTTCACTAGGGAACAGAGGCAGAAATGCTCAGGGACAGTAACCAGGTCTGTCCTAAAAGGGAAAAGCAGCTTGACCTGCTGGCCCAGGATGTTTGCAAGAACAAATGGGAAATTATGAGAAACTCCCAAACCCCCTCAAGGGACAGTTTAGTTGTCTGGAATTTGCGATGCTCTTGGTTTCATATAGCTGAGGAAATTAGAAGGAATTCAGAATGGTACTCTCTGAATGTTTCCCAAACAGAATATATTTTAAAGCATAATATAAGGTGTGTTGAATGGGCTTTATGAATGGGGTTCTGAGCTTAATGCTGATCTAAAAATAGAGAACTAATTACAATGTAAGTGTCAAAAAAAAAAATCTTCAGGTCAAATGAGCATAAACAAGGGAAAGGAAAGTTGTATAGTGTGAAATGTATTAAACTTTAAGAAAGGTAGTTTCAGGGCCCTCCCTGGTGGTGCAGCGGGTTAAAGCGCTGCACTAAGAAGCCTAAGCCACTTCCGCATGAGTTCGATCCCCGCCTGCCCCGGAGGAGATCCACATGGCGTGGCAGACCTCTCCTGACCCGCCTGCTGCTCCCCCTCAGCAGTGTACTTCGTAGATCTGCCTGTTCTGCTCCCCACTCTGTCCTTGGTGAATCTTCTCACCCTCCACATCTCTGGTCTGTACCCAGTTCTGTATGAATAAATAAATCTTTTTTTTAAAAAAAAAAAGGTAGTTTCAAAAGAGAAGTATATTCTGACACCTACAGTCTCCAGAAAAAATTCCACTGGAAAATAAAAAGGTTGCAGTATCTGAAGAAATTAGTGGTTTCACAGATAGTTATCTGCTCTCTACTTTACTGCTGGCACCTAATTAAGAATCAGAGTGTGACAAAAACCTGCCCACTTTTTTCTACTCCTTTGTCCACTCAGCTCCTTCCAGGTCCAGCTCACCCTTCTCCACAAAGCTTGCTTCTCCTATCCTGACTCATACTGACAATGCCTCTTACAAGTTCAGTATATCTGGCAATTATTTGTAGATTTCTTTGCCTTTCCAATTCAACTCTATAGACCCTACAACTTTATGTTATGCATATCTCAGGATCACCAGAAAAATAAACAAACATGTCAAAAAAGACAACTAGAAATCTGTATTTTTAGAATAAGGTTGTTATAAAGAATACAGAATCTGAGCATGCACTATAAGTTGTATTAATACCCAAATCAATGCAAATCAAGTGTGAAACAAGTAGAATCAATAGGTATTACAAAAATAGCACAGTACCTGCAAGAGACTTTCTATGGCATGAAAGCCTCGAATTAAATTCAGAGCTCCACATAAAAGACTAAGGATAAATGCCACTATTCCTGACAGAGTGGCTGGTTCCAGTCGCTGGTGAGCTGGAAAATAAAAGAAATAATTAGAAATGATTACCAATATCCACATTACTACCTAAATGTATACAAGATGAAATTTACTGCTCAATTTAAATGGGAACAAATAACAGATTAATCTTCAAAAATTATTTAGTAACCTTAGTAAAAATATTTTTAAGGTCTTATGTCTGACATGATAGCCTCATTCCCATGACAGCTTCATTACCCTGACTTCAAATTAAATTAACTTTCTTCTCTACATTAAAAAAAAAAAGATATGTAATGTGCTTTAGGGGTATATAGTGCTAAGGAGTGCACTACATGATTCATGTAGAAAAATCATGTAGAAAAAAAACCTTACTGCCTAAATGTCTACCATTTTGCAAGTAGCCGCAAATATTTGCAAAGGTGACTCTGCTTGGAAATTCATTGCATAATTCCATTTTTTCTGAAAATGTATAGAAAACATTTTTAAGGACACAGTTTTTTTTGCTTTTCAGCAAAGTTCTCCTTTATTTGGGTTCTAGGGCTATAAATACCGCAGGATATGAGAAACCTCATTAGTAATCACCAATCTGAACTCCACAATAGAATGCAGCTATGAAATTCCTGATCTCTGATGATCACTTGAAGGTAAAATTGATAAAATGCCAGTTGAAGAAATGATCAGTTTATGTTCACAAACACATTCCCGTATCAGTCAGGGCTTCAGCAGCAAAAGACATTTAGTTACACAATAACTTTCCTTCATTATCCTCTTGCATTTAATAGAACTAACAATGAAGTCTAAATGAAAACACAAAACTAAATATATAATCATCTATTCCTCAAAAAGGAAAGAGGGAAAGGGGACAACAGAACTACATTTACATCATTTTAAATCACTGATGTGTGAAGCCCTAACAATGAAGTTAATGAGATAGAACATTAATATAAGGAAGGGTTTAAATGATTGCAACTTATATTTAGTCATTACAGTAAAAAGGCTTCTATAAACAATTTATATAAATACAAGAAAGTATTCCTGAAGTTCAGCAGAAAATGCTAATACAGGGTAGCAGTTTTTTAGATTTCTGCTCTGCATAACTGTCCATTTGGTCTCTCAATTTCCTTGAGATTTTGTTATGAAAACAAAAAAAATTAAACTTTTTTTGGGTAAAGTATTAATACCAAGTTTTAGCTCAGTAGAGGAAAAATGTCTTACAATTTAAAAATTTATGCAATAGGTCTACCAATTAGCCATGTTTTGGATCCCACCTCCATTCCTTCCTACTTCCTGTAGTAACATGGGAGAACTGGTATCTAATAAAAAAATCCTTAATATGGGCATCAAGCATAAAATCATCTGACAACTGAATTACATAAGGTCTACAAAAGAAGTCTACCCTACCCTATATTCCAAATAATATTTTGTAAGATAACTAAAAATCCTTAGCTTTTTATGGTTATGTAAGGTATGGCCATTCTTGAATGGAAAGACACTGCCATTGAAATGTGTTGATCAAGATCTATTTAAAGAAAATACCAGATAGTTCTCTTATAAAAGGAATGTAGGGGTCCCAAAAATGGAATGAGGGGTGGGTGGGGAAGTAATTTTAAGAAAGTAAAAACCAAAATCAACAGGCAACTATAAACCTGAGGCATTTTTGGGGCAGGGAAGGAGGAAATTGGATCAAACAGGGGTGGAAAGTGCACAGGGGACGATGGTAATGGTGTACAGCTGAATTGGTGGTGGGAGTTTCCTGGGAACCATATACAAGATGATATAGCATACATTATAAGAAAAAGCAAATAGAAAGTAAATAACATGTCTAATGAAGTAAGTTCTAACACTTGCCTCTTGGCCTCGAAGTCTCTCTATAATGATAGCATACCACCTACAAGTCTTAGTATTTTTAAAGGCATTGAAAGCAAACGACAAGCTTCCTTTTATAAGGACAAGGCATGCATTATGATGAAGGAGAAGATGAAGCCATGCCAAATCACTGAGAAGAAAATATTCTCAAGTGGAACTTTCCTTACTTCCACCCCACCCTGCCCCAGGGCCTGTGGGAATGGTTACCAAGAGAAAACTCCACTTGTACACACTTAAGGACAAAGTCTTCTTTAACTGAGCAAGGTATTTAATCTATGTGAATGTATTAAGTTCTATGTGCTATTTTTTATTTCAGTAAAAACAGATTTCAGATAAATTATTATCCACAAATGTCTTGTTCATACTCCAAGTTGGCACCATGACAGATATGATAAGAGTAGATGTGATGCAATAACTAATGTAGAAAAATATAATAATTTTGTTTAATTCAAAGCATGTCACCTGGTCAGTTTTTTCTTACTATTACTTCCTGCTAAAAGTCTGCTTGTCTTCTAAGATCCCAAGGCCAGACAGTGAAACTTATTTTCACCTCGTTAGAACTTGTATCACATTTTACCTTATATTTTACTAACTGGGTTATATTTCCTTTTCCCAATGTGAAAGCAGATAAATACACTATCTTTCTAAAATGTCCCATTTATACTTTGGAAGGAAAAAAGCAATAAATATGTGTTAGACTGTGAGAAGGTTTTGTGTGTGTGAGAGAAAGAGAGACAGAGAGAGCGAAGGAGAATCAATTTTCCTTGTGGGCTATCAGTTGAACAGAGTAGTGTTTTTAGGTATATAACAAGTTGTCTACAAAATTATATAGGTGAAGAAAAGGCCTACTGAGTAGAGAATCAAAGAAACTGAATTTGTTTTTTTCCTAATAAAAGCAGGATATGATTAAAAAGATTAACAATGATGAATGTTGACAAGGATGAAGAGTGACAATTCTCATGCATTGCTGAGGTAATGTAAAATGGCACAATTGCTACAGAAAACTACAGTTTGTTAAACATGTACCTAATATTTGATCTATCAATTCCACTCCTAAACTTTACTCATGAGGAAAAATATGTGAACAAAAGATAAATGTTTGCAGAACTGGAAACAAACTAATATCCATCAGCAAGATAAACAAATTGTGGGCAACAAATAATAGAATACTACTCACTAATAAAAAGAAGCAAGCTATGGAGCTATGCAACATATATTTACATGTATATGTATGTACATATGCATAGTGCTAAGGAGAAGCAGCTAACAAAAGAGCCACACTAATTGTTTTTATATAAAGTTCTAGAACAAGCAAAAATAATGTGAAAATAATCAGAACGATAGTTGTCTGGAGAGGAGCAGAGACTGCTCCTCTAGGAAGGGACAAGAAGAAACCTTCCAGGGAGATGCAAATGATCTTTATTGTAATAGGGATATTAATAGTTTTATTCTATTATTTTTGATCCTTCAACCCTATGGAACTAAATTTGCCAGGATCTAGTTCATAGCATTAGCAAATAACTCACTTGTAAGAGTACCTTTTATGAGCAAATCCATTTATCCAACATCCATATTCTTAACTACCTCCCCTCCATGATGTTTTCACACTCATGGCCACTATTAACCTGTTTGAATGAGCTCAGGCGAAGTATCAGATGATTAAGGACAGCTCCTAAGTCCCAGAGCCCACTGAAATTGTTCAAACTAAACAAGCCAAAATCTGCTTATGTAACTGCCTCTCCAATTCCTTCCTGAAGAAGTCATAATAAAAGCTGCTATCCATATTTTCTCCCATTTCTTTGCCTCCTGACCAATGCTGGTGCACCCCATGTGGACCCTGGTGGTATGGTGTGCTTCCTTCTCTCTTGAGATCTGAAGATATAGCTATCTCTTCAATGGCAGTCATTTATAGATCTGTTGGCTTTATATATATATATATATGATAAAACTTATCTTTTAAAATAGAATATGGCTTATATAAATGCATTCAACTGTCAAAACCATACAGCAAAGGACAAGAATATTTACCTTAAAAATGAAAGAACCATATAATCAAGTGAGTGAGTAGGGAATAGTACAAATGAAACAAAATCACAAAATAATGACACAGTTAGTGTAGTTGGGTGATTGATACATAAGGTACATTGGTACATAATTATACTATTCTGTTTACTTTATGTGTGTATGTCCAGAATAAAACATTTTTAAAATAAGACAAAAAAATGTAAAAATGGGACATGACATTTAACCACTGGTCTCATGATGAACAGCAAAGTATCTAAAAACTTCAGAACACAATAACATGGGGAAAAACATTCATGCCAGACAACAGGGAGAAGGGTCAAAAAGGCTATAAAGAAAAAAGCAAAGAAATGCAAGAAAAAGAAATAAAAAATAAGATAGAGAAAAAGACTGGAAAACTTATGTCTATCAAATAACTATTATAGAGATTCCAAAAATAAAGTATTTTATCTAGGGGGAAAAAAAAACAAGAAAACATATCTACACTCAGCTACAATAGAAAGTATTATGCAGATTTAGTCTGGATTAAAAACAAATATGAAAAATCTTAAGTATTAATTTAAGAATTTCAGTTTCTTAAAACTTTCCTTTCTTGAAAAAAAAAAATCTACATTCTCTTTCCATTTTCCAAGTGCCTGCTATTTGGTGATACAAGATATCATTGCAGACTATAGGTCAGAATGATGACTATGGAATCAAGTATAATTTGGAATTATCATAGAGTTTCTAATTGAGTCTGTCTCTCACTAGGTCAAGTGGAACAACAAATCTGAATTAAGATTATCTCCTAGATTCAGAATATGGGTTAAGGAACAGATATTTTTAGCAAATTGACTACCAGACCTATGGAATTAGAACCACTAGAAATGGAAAGGATGATAAAGGTCTTGGAGTACCCCTAACCCAAACATCATGAAAATACTAATTCCTAGAATAACTACCTGTGACAATCTAAGGCTAAAAAGATGTATGGACGGTGACTCCAACTGTATACCCATTTAATTCTTCAAGTCTCTAAAATGTGTATATCTTAAGAGGATAATGACAGATTATTGTAGAACCCACTGCACATGGTTTTCCAGATGTAGTCTTCTTATGGAATAAATCAATTAATTCCCTGACATGTATGTACTAATTAAACTAATAAACTGTAAAAACCTAAACAGTCACCATCTGACCCTTTACAAAAAAAGTTTGTCGGGCCTTGACCTACAAAGACCTAACACACTACAGAACATTACACTGATCCACTTTATTGATGACCTCCTGTTGACAGGATCTGAAGGATAGCAAATGCCCCAAGTTATGATTTGTGATGACATATATATGCCAAATAATGCAAATAATTACAAAACTAGAGGAGCCTACTGTTTCAGTCAAGTTTCTGGTGGTTAAAGGCCTAAAGTATGTCAAAAGTAAAGATCATGTTGAAGCACCTTGCAACCCAAACCTCTAAAAAATGATACAATATTTAATATGGTTTTCTAAATTTGAAAAGCAACAGATTTGGGTATGCTGTACCAATATGTTTACTGAACATACATAACAACGGTTGAGGAATAACAATTACTCAACAACAAAAGGATAAAGTCTAAATTAGAGTACTTTGTCACTCAACTTATGACTCATGGATCCAGTGGCACTCAAAATATCTGTGGAAGAATGATTATTTTGAGCCAGTAGAAAACCCCAATAAATGAGACTCCAAGGGGTTCTGAAGCAATGACAAAGCCACTAGGCAAAAAACTGTTTAAGAACTAGTTTCTAGTCTGCTTGCTGGGCATGGCAGAATCGAATAGTCTTACCATGATATATCTGGCATACTATATACTATAAAATTCAAAACCACCACAAAAAAGCAAAGAGGTATAATAAACAAAAAACAAAATATATATTTTTAAAAAATGAATTATTAAAGAAAGTAGAGAGAAAAGTGACCAAAGCCAGATGAGACAAAGAAAATAGCCAAGATAGTCGATTTAATTCCAACATATCAATAATCACATTAAATGTAAATAACCTAAATAAAAAGGCAGATATTATCAAACTGATTTTTTTAAAAAGATATATAGAAGAGGGCCCTCCCTGCTGGCACTGCGGGTTAAAGCACAGCACTAAGAAGATAAAAGTCACTTCAGCATGAGTTCGATCCCCACCCTGGAGGTGATCCACATGGTGTAGCAGACCTCTCCTCACCAGTCTGCTGCTCCCACTGCTCCCCTCAGTAGTGTACTTCGTCAGTCAGCCTGTTCTGCTCCCCACTCTGTCTCTAGTAAATCCTCTCACTTCCCCTGCACCTCTGGCCTGCATCCCAGTTCTGTATGCATAAATAAGTCTTAAAAAAAAAAAAAGATACCAAGAAGGAACTACTTAAATAAAGACACAAAAGAATAAGGATGGGAAAAGATACACTATTCCAACACTAATTTTTTAAAAACTGCAATGATTATGTGACTATGTTAATAGATTGCAGAGTTAAAAAAGAAGGTAATTTCAAAGTTACAACAAAACACTTCTAAATATTTATATACCACTAAATGACAAGTTTTAAAATACATAAAATAAAAATTGATAGACCAACTAGGAAAAAGATATAAATTCACTAGTCAGAGACTTCATACCTTTTTCTCAATAATTATTAGAGGTAAACAATAACAAACAAAAAGATTTGAGTATTGTCTGTTAACTTGATCTAAATGACAATTAGATCAACCAACAGTAGAATACACATTCTTTAAAAAAGAAAGAGAAAACTGACTAGATATCTTCAGGAAATAAAACAAGTCTCAATAAATTTAAAAGGCTTAAATTAAGAAAATACAAAATTGGTATCTACCTACAATGGAATTAAATTAGAAATACTAACAGGAAGGTATCTAAAAAGTCTCTAATTAAGCTTCCTAACAAAGTTCTAAACAACCCATGAATCACAATAAAAAGCAAAATTAAAAAGCATTTTGAATAGAATGAAAGTGAAAAACAATATGCCAAGATTTATGAAACGTAGAGCAAGCACTATTTAGAGGAAAATATACAGTACTATCTATATTAGAAAGCTCTCAAATTAATAACCTCCACGTCCACCTTAAGAAGAGAAAAATAACAGCAATTTAAGCCCTAAATAAACAGAAGTATAAAAAAAGCAGAACAAAAATAAAACAGAAAACAAAAATTTTAAAAATCAATGAAAGCAAAAGATTATTTAATAAAATCAATACAGATGATAAATTCTAGTAAGAACATTCAGACAAAAATTGTCAGAAATGATAATAGTATAAATATTGAAGCGATAATACAATCCAAAAAATTTAAAAACTTACATAAAGGGGGCAGATTCCTTAAAAGAAACAAACTACTAAAAATCATTTAAGAGAAAGTGAGAACCTAAATAATCTCACATCCATCAAAGAATTTGATTTGTAGTTTAAAAACCTTCCCACAAAGAAAACTAGTGGCTCAGAAGACTTCACTGAAGAAATGAAAATTCAACAGACACATTTCCCAATATGGAACAGGGAACACCTTCCAGTTTCTTCTTTTAGTTTTATCCTGACAGCAAAATCAGACAAAAGCATTTCAAAAAAGGAAAACTACAAGCCAGTTTCCTCATGAATACATATATAAAATTTGTTTCTACTTAACTGTCATATAATTGTTCATAATGCTCCTTTAAAATCCTTTTTTTATTCTGTAAGATCATTAGAAGTGTTCCTACTTCATTTCTAACTCTAATAATTTCTCTCTCTATTTTTTTCAAGTTTGTTCATCTTTTCAAAGAAATAGTTTTTGGTTTTACTGCTTGTTCTGTTCCTTTTATTCTGTTTTAGCCTTTTCTATTTCCTGTCTGCCTAGGTTTCTTTAATTTTTTTTTTTGTATTTATGGTTATACATTTTTCTCTAGCACAGTTTATATGCATTTCATTAACTTTGATATGTTGTGTCTTTTTTCATTATTCTTAAGTGCACATTCCCCTTTTCTTTTGTTTTTTGACCAATTCAATATTTAGGAGTGATTAATTTCCCCATATTTGTAAAAGTTCTCCAGAATTCTTCCTGTTATGAGTTGCTAATTTTATTCCATTGTGGCTATAGCAATTGCTTAGTATTATGTCTATCTTTTAAATATATGAAGTAGTTTCCTTTTTAAACTTATAAATAGCAGAAACTTACTTCTCACAGTTCTGATTTGCTTGTTTACTTATTTTCTAATTTGTTGAATTATTTTAGTGAAATCTATCTACTTCTCCATTTTTCTCTCATAATTTATATTTGTCAAACCAAAAATGAAGTATTACATTCAGTCCTGAATGCCACTAATGCAAATAAACTTCCAGGATGGGGAGTGTTTCAGGATAACAGACAAAAAAGGCTAACAGACTGAAAATATTTATTAAGATCAGTCAAACAAACAGGATAAAAAGCATGCAGAGTTGCTAACTTCAAAGTTCCAACATGCTACACTGGTACAACTGAAGAGGTCACAGAATTTAGACAAACTGGAAGGCATTATATAGAACAGATTTTCACTCAAAGTATAAAAAAGAATCATTTTAAGCGATGAATGCAACAACACATATAATACCTTATAAAATAACTAGGCTTCCAGTTTTTTGTCTGTTTGTTTTTTGTTTTTGTTTTTTTTTAAGATTTATTTATTTGTGCATATAGAACTGGGGTTCAGCCAGAGGCTCAGGGGTGGTGAGAGGCTTCACCAGAGACAGAGTGGGGAGCAGAACAGGCAGATCGATGAAGTACACTGCTGAGGGGAGCAATCGGTGGGTCAGGAGAGGTCCGCCACACCATGTGGTCACCTCCGGGGCAGGCGGGAATTGAACTCATGTGGAAGTGGCTTTAGCTTCTCAGTGCTGTGCTTTAACCCGCTGCGCCACCAGGAAGGGCCAGGCTTCCAGTTTTAAGCAGCTTTCAAGCCAAGGATGATAGCATTCCTTGTTTAGGAGAGGTTTTAGTAGATGATCATATTTTCTGTGATAGTCAAGAACTGTGATAGTCCTTCAATGTAATCATTTTAACATGATGCAAAGAACTTTACATGCCTATAAACATGTAGTACAGACAAACTATTGCTCATTTCCAGAAAGAAAACATTACAAAGAAACCTTAAATGTTTCCTGGCAAGAGTTCCCTAAGACTGTTGCTTAAAAGTATTTTCCTGATTTGCTCTGTATCTGGAAGATGAGATTACTTTGAACATTTACATTCTCTCATGTACTTGCTTTACATAACGGAATAAAGTAATTCATTCTAAAGAGTTCCTAATTTCTTACAAAATATTTTTTAAAGAAATATCGAGATCCAGAACTCACCAGAAGAAATCTTACCAGCACCTTTATAGTCAATAGAAAATGCAGATTTGACTCCACTGGTTGGCCCCAGTTCACACATGGAAATTTGATAAGGGGGCCTCAGCTTGATTTCCGTCTGCATGTCAGACAGATTTATCTTTGTTGAAAGAGACCTGGGATTATTATATCGCTGCTTGGTCCTCTGAATGAAGTTATCTATGTAAAATAAAAAATACATTTCCTTGCAGTCATTTGTTTATTAAGTCATTTGAGAGTGTGATGTTTATGGACAGTAAACTTTATAGATAAATCATTTGATATCCAAAGCTATTCGATTTGTCATGGAATGTTCTAATATTATTTGTGTTTAATGACTAATATATCATGAAGTCATTAGCTTTTCCACTCTAGAAATTAATCACTGTAAATAAATTAAGGATTTAACACTATGTAACTGTCAGAATATTACTGTTATATCTACCTTAAGGAATTATAAAAACAAACTCTCTTTAATTTTAACACACCCTTAATTTTTATAAGGGTTCATATTTCATAAAATAATGTCAGCATTTACCAGTTGTAATTATGTAAGAAAATACAGTTTAAATTCCAAGTTCTTATAAATCTCTTATTACTTACACCATCAATATGTTTTGAAGAAAAATTTAGTGCCTTCCCATTTTTATTATTTACAACTTGATTTTACTTTCTTTTTCTCCTACACCAACTGTCAAGCAAACCAATGCCTACAGGCCAAATCTGGCTTGCAGTTTTTAAAATAATAATATAACTATATTCAATGACATATTGTGGTGGCTGTACTCAAGCTACAATGGTGAGGATGAGTTCTTGTGGCAGAACTACAGGTCCTTAAAGCCTAAAATGCATACTAGCTAGTTAATTAGAATGCTTACTAACCTTTGTTCTATAATAAGCAGACTTCAAAAAGACGATCACATAAGCAAAACTCTGAATTTCTGGCTTGTAAGTTTAACATTGAGGAAATGTCCCCCAGGATTAATTTTGGGGGCCAATAATCACAATTTCCACCACAGCTCCAACACAACTTTTCCTAGTAAACATCTAAGTGAAGAAGATGCCACAGCTTACAGACCATTGGTCAAACTGTTCTATCAAAATCAAGACAGCAGAATGTTTGAGTTTCCCCCCTGACCCTCAGTATTAGATGATGGAAACAGGATAATGAAAAAGAAAAAAAAAATTCAGGCCCTTACCAAATTCAATGAAACAGTATGGTCTGACAGCAGTATTTGTCTTCATCATGTTATAAGTAGTAATGAACTCCTTCTGAAGCTCATCCAGGAAAGAGAAGGCCAGAACATTTGGGTAATTTTCAGTGCACAACATCATGTAGCTCACTCCCAGAGAGCTAATAAAACTACAGTGTAAAAAACATTGGTATAAAAATTTCAAATTAAATCAAGGTAATTCGTTGCTTCACAAGGCTGATTCTATACACCATAAACTGCTGCTACAGTGGCAATGACGATATTAACATTTATTATATATTCCAGCAAAAAAATTTAAAGGGACCATAATACTATTTTCATTTGCAGTTTAAAAACAACAGCCTAGAGGCTGCATGTACCTACAGAGGGACACATACTATATTTTGAACATTTCAGTTATCAGTCAGGAGTAGAAAGCAAGAATATTCAAATATATAAGGTTTACAGGTAGCATAAGGTTTAATCCTTCAGCCTAGTGGAACTTCATCCTGTTTCAATCAAGAACTCTATAGAATATTCTGATGAAAAGTATAGACAATCTCCCCCTAAAAGATACCCAACAACATAGAAGGTGGCACCAAATTTCAAGGTGGTCAGACCTCTTGATGCAGAACCAAATATTCTACTTTACATGGTAATGAAATAAAGGCTATGAATGTTACTGATAAAAGCAGGCTAAGGATAACTAAATGCAATACGTAAATCTAATATGGATCCTGTACCAGGGTGGTGGGTAGTTGTGGGGGGAGAAATGCTATAAAGGACATTGCTGGGTCAACTGACAAAAAAGAAAAACAGACAGCAGAAGTGTGGTATAAATATTAAATTCACTTGAACTAGTAACAGTACTATAGTAAGAAACTATCCCTAATTTTAGGATATGTAACTGGAATTCATTAGGAATAAAGGCACATGGGCCCTCCCTGGTGGTACCAGAGGTTAAAACACAGCACTATGGGGCCCTCAGTGCAAGCTCTATCCCAGCACCAGAGGTGATCCACATGGTGCAGCAGACCTCTCCTGACCAGCCAGCTGCTCCCTCAGCAGTGTACTTCACCCATCTGCCTGTTCCGCTCCCCGTTCTGTTTCTGATGAAGCCTCTCACTGCCCCTCCACCTTTGGCTTATAGCCCAGTTCTGTATAAATAAATAAATCAAAAAACAAACAAACACAGCATTATGAAGCTACACAGACACTGCAGCACCAAGTTCAATCCCACGCCAGTTTGCTGACCCATATAGCATAGCAGACTTCTGTCCTGCCTGCTGCTCCCCTCAGCAATGTATTTCAGTCAATCCTCCTGTTCCGTTCCCCACTGTTTATCGTGAAGCCTCTCACCCTCCAGCACCTCTGGCTTATACCCCAGTTCTTATATGCATGAATAAATAAATCTTTTTTTTTAATAAATAAATCTTAAAAAAAAAAAGAATAAAGAGGACCTCCCTTGTGGCGCAGCGGGTTAAAGCACAGCACTGAGAAGCTAAAGCCACTTCAGCATGAGTTCAATCCCAGCCTGCCCAGTGCTGTAATCTTAGCCACCCCCCTCGCTGCTCCCCTCAGCAGTACACTTTGTCAGTGTCAGTTGGCCTGTTCTGCTCTCCACTCTGTCTCTGGTGAATCTTCTCACTGCCCCTGCACCTCTGGCCTTTACTCCAGTTCTGTATGTATAAGTAAATAAAACTTAAAAAAAAAAAAAGGAATAAAGGGACGTGGTATTTATTATTGATAAGTTTCACTCAAATGGCTAGGTAGATAGACAAAATGAAAGAGCAAATGGGATAAAATGTTAACAAAAGGTGAATCTGGAAATAAGCATAATTTGTATTTTTCATATTTATAAAATTTCTATAAATTTGAAATGATTTCTAAGTAGCAAGTTAGAAATCAAAAACAAAAACTTTCTGATTTAAGCACCAAAACATTTAACTATGTCCTAGTTGGGAGGGAAGAGGGGCATTTTCTAGAATGCAGCATATACCACCTTTAATAAGCAAAGAGCACAAGTTTACCCTTCTAGATCCCTTTATAGCACTGTGAACATAGTTGACTGAGGTAAAGGACAGCAAACGGGGCATTTAGGCCACTTTCTGTGCCATCCATTGCTGGCCTAGCATAACAATCTTTACTGCTAAATGCTGATAAATATTGGCATTACCTCCCACCCCCATTTCTTCGCAAGTCATACACAATACTTACTATTTTACATTTAATTTGTATAATTATAAGGTGCAGGCACCAGCCACACATAGGCATATAGAAGGAGGAATTGCCCCAACCAGAAGCAGATATTCAGGAGCAAGAATCTCCTGACTTGTTTGTCACCACCGGTTAACACAAGCCCAGGCAGAAAAATAAGTTTCAGTTCTTGTCAAAATTTTCCAGCTGGCCGTTTCTCCCCCACCTACCTAGACCTATAAAACCCTCTTACCCTTCCATTCTCTGACCTCAACTCTCTCTGGGATCAGTAAACCTCACCCAGGAGCACAGAAATAAACCTACTTTTGGTTTTACTGGCTTTACCATCTCTTTGCATCCTAACTGCACCAAACCTTTCAATAATATATTCACATAATTAAAATTTTAGAAGTATGAAAAATGAAAGGGAATACTGTACTTAAAATGTCTTATCCCCACCTCTACCCACAGGTAGCCAGTTCTCTGCCCCTCAAGCAACTCATTATTAATTTCTTATGTAGCATTTCAGTGAATTTTTCTTGAAAGAGTATTCTTGGAAGGCAAAGAATGTAGGATTGGCACCTATCAATTACACTTTAATATATGTGATATACCACTTGTGAAATTGTATTATTCTTACTTATGTTCTTGGAATTTCTTTTTGAAGTCCTGCTTAATACACAGTCATTTAGCATTAGTGCAAATAAGAGAGTTTTCCAAGCCGCAAGGAATAACCCAGTTGGCAGGTTGTAAAATTAAGTTTGTGAATTACACAGAGCATTTTCTTAAAAACTCAAGTAGAACATAAAAGAAAGTACTGGAATATATATTGCCCATGAGACTTGTTTTAGTTAAGATCCCATTTATATGTACAGTGTTTACAAATTAAAAATGCTCTTCTTATGGATCAAAGTCAAATATATTTAGTCATAATATTGTCTTTTCTACAAAATTAAAGTAATTAAAGTAATAAGGGTCAACATATATTTTTCCCCAAGTAATTTTGTATTTCCAAAAATATCTTCACTGTCATCATCAAAATTCTTTGACCTGTCATTTAACATTCAAAAATACCCTAGAGTAACTTAAACAGGGTGAGAACACAATTGGTGACTGGCTTTCATCTACCTGGAACTCCCAAGTGGCTAGTTAGGACTTATTTCATTATCCTCCAATAACATGACTGAAGTTTTTGGACTCAATTTTTGGTGTTATGACAATCTTTTACTAGATTTTCATATTACTACTAATACAGTGAACCACAGACACCTTCCTGACAATTTATCCTAAATGGTTTCTCTTACTTGCACTAAATTTACCCTTGAGAATTGTATGTAATATAAAGGAAATCTATTTTTTTAGGATCATATGTCAGGATTTTCAGGGGATCTTCATTTCAAAGTCTTTATTTTACACTAATTGCACAATACTTTGAGAAGGTCACAAAGTATTTTATAATATGATGACTTTCCATAGTGAAATTAGGCTTATCTAATGCAAAATCAGTTTTCCAAAAATACATATAGCTTAGTCAGTATACCTTTTTTTTTTTATTGAAAGTCCTAGGTTGTTTACAACTACCAATAGGACAGAATGAAAGACTCCCACCACTTCATAGAAAACTAGTCCTACAAAATAGTCTAAGTCACTGCAGGCATACTAGTTTGTACATGCTTTAGTCTGTTCATTTAACTCATATTTTACAATCTGGCCAGTGTCCTTCTGCTTTGATGAGCGGGAAGAGTAGTGTACTAAAAGTATTTAAGGTACAGTTTTACCGAATACCTAATATAAGCAAAGCCATTTGCTAAAGTGATTCATATATATATATCTCTGGTTTCCCTCCACTGCACATACACGAGGAATTTATTTAAGTCTTTCCAGCATCAAGTGTGTCTTAATCAGGTAAGGATGGCAAAGTTCAAATAACAATATGGGGGAATTAACCCTCTCAATCATTTCATTAAAAAGCTAATTAGGCCCTCCCCGGTGGCTCAGCGGGTTAAAGCACAGCACTGAGAAGCTAAAGCCACTTCAGCATGAGTTCAAACCCCACCTGCCCCGGAGGTGACCACATGGCGTGGCAGACCTCTCCTGACCCGCCCGCTGCTCCCCTCAGCAGTGTACTCCAACGATCTGCCTGTTCTGCTCTCCACTGTCTCTGATGGATCCTCTCACTGCTCCTACATCTCTGGCCTGTATCCCAGTTCTGTATGCATAAAAAATAAATCTTAAAAAAAAAAAAAACCTCAGACTATTAAAAAAAAACTAATTAAATCATGTACCTAAGGAATCCATAACTTAAATAATTCTTAAAATTCAACAAAATGAAAATAGACAATACACTTTTTCTGTTAATTTTATGAACTATGAAAGAGATTTCATACATACCAATTAAACCCTGACATTATTAGTATAATTCTGATCAATGGCACTAAACTAAGTAATGAATGAAAACAATGATCTTTGCCAGAGCAAATAATCAAGTACCTAGCTTGTGTTTAACATTCTACTCTATCGGCTCTGATATCGCTGTCCTTGCTGGACAGACATATGGTACTGGAAATGCTAAACCAGATGATAAATTGAGGTAGTAATAATATTTGTATTACAAATAATTTTCACCTGCCATTTACCATTACACATAGAAAATCTGCTTATCTTTGGTACCCACATTTGCTCAATACATTGCTTTCCTAAGAAAAATTCTCTAGTTCAACATTGCATGTTTAATCTACTGTTAAAATTATTAAATATAAGAAAAATATTGCTTTCAAAACAGAACCTTTCATATTGAATTCTATGCTCTGAAGTGTTTAAACTTTTGAGCAGGGAATCAGTATTAGCATTGTTTTTATGGTAACACTGGTTTACAACACTGTAAATAATAGAATCACCCTCCTCCAGATGCATATTACCAAACCACATGTACCACCAGACTTCTCAATAAAAAAAAGTTTGATTTCCAGATCCT